TGTCTATGAATAGCAAGATCTTCTAGGATATGCTGTAACATTTTAAGTTTCTCTTGTGCTTGAAATCAGAACTCTTAAAGTGTACTTAAAAATTTTATTTCAGAAAATACATTCAATTTACAACTCATTGATGTGGAATGTTTGGTGGATCCTTTTCTTTACATCGTTGCATTTTCCGTTCAATCCACACTCTGTTTGAGGATATCTTATTTGCAATTGCAGCCCTCACTTTTCCTGTTGTACTTGCAGAGTTTTGGATGCAAAATTCTGTTTGAGAAAATGAAAAAAAAGTTATAATCAGATGTTATACAAAAACAATTTCAATTTGAGACAACATTTTAAATTGAACATGGGTTTAATATTCAATTAAAGCATTGGGATGAAATTCTTCAATTGCTCTTACTACAAGATTCTTCAGATAGTCATGAAATTTAATAATTGACTCCTCTAGATCAATTTTGAACATTAAATAGCAATGTGATTAATATATATAAAGAATGCAGCTCTGTATGAAACATAACTATCCCAGATGTTCAAACTTAGTTCACTTGGCAAATTGGCAAACTTCCATTACAAACATATCATCTTTATGAATTAAAATACCACTCAAAACAAGACAAGAAATGTAAAGGTTGTGATGTTGATACCAAACTGAAGCCAACGTACCTTCTATGGCCTGTAGAATAATTGGATCAAGATTGGCCTGTGTTTTATCTTTTGTCACAATGAACAGATCTTTACTACTGTAAAAGAGGCCAAGCAGGAATCGGGCTGCAGGGGTACCATCTGTTTTTCCTGTTTTTTCTGAGATTTTGATTTTGTTCATGGCATGTACATAATCAGGTCCACTGACATACACTGGTATGGCTTGTACCAACTGCACTAACTGAAAACAGAGAAATTTCTTAAATTAGAATTAGGTTGAATATATCTTTCCATAACCATTTTGATTTTTATCATTTACTCTTAGATACATAATACTTAAGGAGGCTGGCGGGTCAAAAATTTAATCTTAAATTAACCACCAGATTTAACTTATTTTTTTAGATATGGTATATCTAGCTGTCAACTATCATTTGGCAAAGAAAAACTTCATATATTTTAGTTTTAAAATTTTATCATTTTGTATATCTTTATATGGAGCTCTCCTTTTAAAGGAGATTGAAATAGTCTAAAAATGGCTGCCACCCCCTAGCCTCGTTAATGAAGGCCCGTGCATTTCGATGACCTGCCCTTATATAATTTCCATATTGCTGTTTTTGTATGTTCTTTACATTTTCAATCATTCTCAATAGTACAACTGCCATTCAAATGTTTTATGTGTAAGATTAAAACTTTTTAATAATGCATAAGAAATCAGCCAACCCCCTCCAAATATACATATTAACAGGACATACCCCAAGGTTTTTTGCATCCTCTTCCTGGTAAACTCCTGCCTTATTATGGGCTTCACGTCTACTGATTGCAGCTTGAAGAAAAAAAACAGACTTTATTTGAGAAAGATTTATATTCATCAATTTAAAAATGATTGTGTAGGGTATAATACTTTATAATACTTACATTTTTTCCTCTTTCCAGGTTTCTTCCCAAAAAATTTAAAATCAACGGCAATATCAGTTTTTCCATGCAGACGCTATGTTATTAAGCATTTTTTACCCTGCATTTCAATTAGAACTAAACTCTTAGCGTTCGGATTGTGTTTGCTTTCCTGTGATCAAAAGCTATTTTCACTGAAGCTTTTCAACTCAAATACAAGTCTTTGGTCCTTTCCTTTCCAATAAACATATTTCTGCCATTCTTCGTACAGCACTGCCCATTATTTCGATCATTAGCTATCTTTAGATATAGATCTACTTTACACATATTTTACGTACATGTACAACTGTCAAGTCAATGATCAACATCATTAACTCTTAGTTACTTTCCAATATAATGTAAACAAACATGTTTATTCCAGTGCAGCTCAGACAAAATATGTTTCTTTTCAGAATGTTCCCTTCTTCACAGCTGTAGGCATTGAATGAAGCTGGTTCTGATGTAAAGACATGGCATTCAGATCAACTTCTATTTTTAGGGGGAGGGGTGGGAGGGGATTGAGGCTTCAAATTTGAGGTGATATGCAGGTGTGTCTACAATGCTTCAAACGTTCTTTGGGAATAATTAAAATTGGCTCTCACAGATCATCAATCCTTATGATATGACATATGCTTTGTAGAAATGAATATCCTGTTCATTTACGCAATTTTTATGAGGCAAAATTCCATACTCTGGATAATGCTTCCATCTTATCCATAAGATGCCAAACATTGAGTGTCAAGATAGAATAAGATATAACTGACAACAAAATAACCTACCTTTGATATGGCTGCAAGTCTTCTGTCTTCTTTTCCAGTTGTTGTCGAATAAATTCACGATGAAAGTTTTTTTTTTTGTTTGTAAACAAATCTTTGGTAGAATGCCATCATGGCATCAACTTTAAATTATTTTTAAATTATTTTTTTCAAGTGCGAGTCATGTTTTTTGTTGCTCTTCGATGGATAATTCTTTTAAGACTTGCAACCATATCCAATGCTATTCCCAGATACTATTGTGATTTGTTTACACTGGAACCATATTTTTGATTCTACTAGAAATAATTCAGGCACAGTTTTTTTTTTTTTTTTTTTAAAATCCTGTTCATTTTGAATATGTAGTGGCCTTTCCTGATTTGTATTTAGTCATAATTTTTGCACATCACTGTAAGACTTTAATACTGTATGATATTAAAATTTAGCAAACTGTCTAAACAATTGACTATTATTTAAAAGTGACTTGTTTTGTTTGTTTGTTTGTTTTTTAAGCATCAATATTGCCCCTATTGCAAATTGCTGATCTATATAATTTCCAAGCAGTATGTGTCAAACAGTAGCTCAGTTGCCATATAGTTAATGACTGGAAACTATCCAAGAGATTCTCATCCATTCAATGTCCACAGAAAACATAAAACACAAATTGAAAAACTCTCCATGTTAGATAATGTGGATTCCACAAAGTAACACAAATATAACAAAAGTATTTGTCTTTCCTATACAAAGAACAAGAACTTCTACTCCAACAAAGAACCATAACTCCTATCAAAAGCCTTAAAATCTTATCCAGAAAATGATCAACCTACCAACAAAATAAAACACAACTTAAAAGAAAACCAAAGCAAACACAGACTGGGAAGAGCAATGGATGGTGAAGAAATTTGAAAATACACCAAAAAATGTAAACATCTTCATCTGGTGCCCTTGTGTGGGCTTCAAAATGCATTTAAAAAGCACCAAGCTCCTTTCGATTTGAAATTTTCAAAATATTTATGCACATAAAATCATATCATCAAGCATCTATAGCATATCAATGGGAGTGTCATTGTTATTTTTCAAAACAAAAAACATTGTTGCACTCCCTTGCAAAACAAAATAATTTGCAATTGATTTCTGAAACATGTTTATAAATGTGCATGTGAATGAAGATGCTTACATGTACAGAAATAAAACAGATAACATCTTGGGGAATCTTGAAAATATTTGTCATATCTTATAGTGCTTAAACATATATCAAAGCAAGTACTATTTTCAACATAGCTGTTTCCAGATATACAGTCTAAAGACTGCTCATCAGATTCTTGCTTGTGCCCAAGCTTAGAATCATAGAACGGTCAACCTTGATAATTATTTCAAAACCAAAAACTTTTCTTTCAACATGTTCAATTGATATAAGTTTTATGAGCAATTATTTTCACATTTCCCCTGAAATTATAACAACAAATGCTGACCAAGATCAAACTAACATATATTTTTCTCTCTGACTATGAGTTTGTTAAAATCTTGTTCCTGTTTTATTCTGTCTGAATTCATTCTTGAAAATTAATTTACAAGTCTGAGTGGTTTTCATTCAAGACAAGTTTGATCTCAATCCTAATGAACAAATTTTCAAAATAAAATGCTCAACATATCTCATCTACATTTCATAATAAATGATTTAATGAATAAAATTAAAAATCATTTTTTGTGAGAGTTTGCATAATTTTATATTGCTGCTCAATTTTTTCAGGTTTGCTTCAATTTTTTATCATTGTATTCATCCCATTTTTAAATGAAAATTAAAGAATAAAGAATGCAAAGTCTCACAAATAGTGATTTATAGTAGATTGAGACATGATTTAGCCAATTTTGTTTTCAATAATACCCTGTCAAAGTTACAAAATATATCATCAAAATTTCAGTGCAACAGATTTTTTCCATTCAATTTGAAGAAACAGCTACATCTGTTAATTTTTTTTTTATTTGCTGAAATGGTTTCAATGGTACTGCTATGACAAATTAAAATTATACAAATTTATTACTTTCATGAATATCTATTGATTTAGGTTTTGCTCATTTTTAATCTGTTAACAAGTTGAAGTAATTTTTCAGTTTTCCATATTTTTGCATTTTATTGAAAGTCAATCAATTTTTTTTAGAGTATTTTGCAGGTATTCAAAATTGTGCTGTTTACTCAAACATGAACACAGGTTTATGTTTATTCTATGGTCCAACACTATTGACTCTGAGGTGAGCTCACATATTGTCATGTATGAAAGACTTCAGATGGCTATTTTCATACAATGATTAGACCTGGACATTGATTAAAAAAATGCAAGTCATCCACCAGATCATCTAACAGTACCAGTGTTTCCCATTTTCTGCTTATTTACTTATTATTGACAATGACAGAGCATTATTGGAAGAATACACAAAGGTCATAGATGATAGATCAATAGATTTTTATTCCCTTTCTTAATTCTACAATGAAGGCTTTTGCTTGTATGATCCATGAACTTTGACAAATTATTGAAAAAATTAAATGGATGTTTCCTTAAATTGCAGAAGTTCTTGTCTCAAAGAAATCATGTAACATAATATAACTGAAATATCTGACCTCTCAAGATGACCTTTGTGCATTCCAAGTCAGTAACAAAGATATGTGACCCCTACCTTTCATCTGTCCCAGGTACCAGTTTGCACTGTTGTCCATTCCGCTGACATTGCTGCTTTCATTAGACATATCCTCCCTTGGCCATTCCCCTGGGGGTTCCTCCACATTGTAATCTGGCCCTGGGTCATCCTCATCCCCCCGCACAGGCTGGTGACCATGGCTACCAAATGACTCATCCCCCATATACATTTCTAAATTACTCATGTCTCTTTCAGTGGCAGTTTCTATTTTCACAATACTTAGGTCTGGCTGGTCATCTATTTTGTCTTGACTGAAATGGTGAACTTGGAAATTAACATCATTTTATATTTAAGTTTGATTAAATATTAACATTCTGAGCTTCTGACAAATCAATCACAATTAATTTTTACATTATATTAAGAATTTTACCAAGCTTTTTCTTTTTTACTTTAATCATTGAAATATTTAAATTAAAAAAAAAAAAACAACCTTTAACATTCTGTTAATTTTTTGTATATTATTATGAGAGTAATAGTTGCTCAAGATCAATAATGTATACCCACCCAGTGTCCACACTTCTCCCACTAGATGCCGGCCTCTCACTACTTCCACTTCTCTCTCTGGCTGTGCTCTGTGATTTCTGAGAGACAGGAGAAGATATGGTTTCTGGGAATACTGGCATGGAAACTGTTTGTGATGCACTACCACTGGCAAAAGGTTTGGGTGCTGGCTGCCTAGGAATCTGGGTCATGGCCACTGGATACGGAGCTCTGTAGGATGTCCCCAGGTCCTCACTGACTCGGGGTCCGGTGCTGGCGTTCACCACATCACTGGTATACTGAGAATCTGAGTAGTCGGGTATGTGGATTTTTGCCTGAGTTTGTTTCTCTACTTCTTTTTTCTGCTGAACTTTCTCTTGATGACCCATGCTGCGACTGATTTCTACTGAAGATGTGGATGATGAGGGGGAGTCTTGAATGGCGACAGGACTGAAACTTATCGGGTCTCGACTTGACCCACCAGGTGGGGGAGCTGCCTGTGAAGATTTTCCTGCTCTTTCAGAGCCAGGAGGACCTGCATCACCTACAACATTCACCACTCGCAGGTCAGATGAATGGTTGTGTTGACTAGACACAGAAAGGGAAACACTTGTCTGTATTTTCGCAGGTTCCTGAATGCCACTTGAGTCCTTTTTAGGAGGTTCTGTTTGCACCAATTCAAAGCCATCCTCTCTGATATCAATAACACCAGGACCTTGAAATCCTGAACCCAGCCTCGGAACTCTGTCCCAAGGATCCGAGGTAGCACCATAACTCTCTGCCATACTACTTGTGTCATGAATCTTAGGACTAGATGAATGGATTCTCTGTCGCTTCACTCCTGGACTTGTGGGTCTGTGTATTTCATTTGTGCGTTTTACAGATCTCTCCTGCTTTTTGAAGAGGTCAGAGACCCTCATGTGTTTAAAGTCTGTTTGATCCTGAAAGCTGTACCTGAACTGAGCCCCTGCTGACTTATTGATACACTTGTTAAAATCAGCACAACACTTGGTGATACTGTCAACCTGTAAAAGTCTGGCTATTTTCTCCACTTCATGACAGTTTTCCTCCGTCAGAATCATGTAGCCCTCATAAAGATACTGTAGAAATGTGTTGACGGATTCCTGACTGATGTCAGATGCCAATCTCACCTCTAAGTGTGACCCTGAGGTGGCGTTTTCCATGGTTTGCAGCATTGGGCAAGCTGCCACAAGAACCACTCTATGAGCCTACAATAGATAGGCAAAGGTTACCAGAGTCATCTCAAAGCACCATCAAACATTAAGGCAAAAGAAGATCATCTCAAAACGCCATCAAACATTAAGGCAAAAAGAGATCATAAAACAATGTAAAATAATTTATGTGCAAAATTGTATTTTAACATTTGACATTAATCTAACAATGTTTGAATTCAAAAAGCATGTTTAGCCAAACCCGAAGATGTAGAAAAGGTTTTGTACCGTGTATCGAACCGAGAAAAAATACTTTTCACTCCTATGTCTTGAACACTTAAAATTATTGTAATATTTGCAACAAAATGAAAGATTATTAATGGAGATCTGATTTTTAAAAGTATTTTTTAATACAAAATGACACACATTCAGAACTAAATACACTTTTAATTTAGGCTTAAAAAAAAAATATGTTTGTTTCCTGTAACATTCCCAAAAAATTAAGGGTCGGTAGATCTGATTTTTTTTTTTTTTTTTTTTTTTTTTTGCTTAAAAGTATTTTTTAAACAAAATGACACACATGGCATCCAAAATGGCTGCCAAGAGGCAGAAAACGAACTTCAAATACACTTTTAATTTATCTCTTTCTTTTCACACTTACACGGGTCGACACAGGTCCTGTTTTTATGATGGCATCACAAAGGGTCTGGCTTTTCAACATGGTGGACAGCTGAGATAAAAGTGTGCTAGAATGAACATGGTTCATATACACTTTGTGGTAGTTTTGACTCATTTTGCTGTTTGTGTCTTCTGTCTTCTATTTCACCAGGATATTCAGATAAAGAGATGATATGCAGATAATTCAGAGCCTGAAATTGAGAAAGTTATTTATCCCATTAATATCATGTATATATAAAGGATGAAAACATATCTTCAATTACACAACTCTGTCACTGTTATACATGTCACAAACAACATGTGCCAAGTTGTACATACATGTACATTGTTATTTATCACCTGAGGCAAATATATTCATGTTTTAATAAACATCAACCTTATTTGCATTGAAAAAACAGTGATAAGGTTTCTATACATTGACTACAACTAGATACTGGAACAAAGATAATGGAATTAGAGCTTATCAAAACTAAAACAAAGCTGGAGAAAGACAAAAAAAGACTGCATGCACATACTGTTTGCCAATGCTTTTGACACAAAAATGATGGATGGATATACATTTATACAAATAGAATATTCATGATTTATATTTTATAATGTATATTTCTAGCCAATTTACCCTTCCTTCAAATTTTAAAACTGAATCCTCTTCAAACAAATGTTAGAGCTTATAGAGTAAGAAACTCTTAAGTTTAACACTTTAAAACTTACTGATTTGTTTTGTAACATACACTACATGTTTAAGTCATAGAAATATGACGTTACCATTTCCCTGCTACCACTTTATGGCATGGTACAAGTTTCTCAAAAGTTTAGTGTAAATAGTATTATGGTGTAATATTTTGAGAAGAAAATAACTTTTCTTATTTTATGAGATTTAAGCAAGAATAAATTAGAAGGAATTTGACCATAAGGCCAAAATAAAATATACTCTTGAATAAAAAAATAGAAGGAAACATATAGCATGTAATAACTGTAATAACAAGAAAATGATATGTTAACAGTTTCAAAGCAAGTTTGTTAATCAAGATTTATAAAGTAAAGGTAACCTGTACACTTGTGATGTATTAAATCTGTAAATATCATTGGTCAACTTCAGTATTTTACAAAAATAGTTATCCAAAAAATGAAAATGTAATAAAAACTTTTAGGGTCGGAGGGTAAAATGTAGGGTAGGTCGGGTGACAGGAAACAGGAGTATTTTTTATTTTGGCCTAAATTGAAGATTAAATGAATTTTTTAGTGTGGGGAAATGTGTGATTGCGGGGAAACAATATATGCATGATTTTGAGTTAGAAATAGGAAATGGTAAATTTTTGATATCCCACAGTGAAGTGCAGTTATGACGTCACAATGGTTTTTATGTTTAATGGTATGATGGACTAAAATAAAGTGGATACCCATATGAATATGGTGTAAAACATCGGTTGTGAAGTATTACACATGGGATAAAAAGAGTCTCCCATGATTTGTAGTTGGATATGATTTTTATCCAACATGTGTGTTTTTATCCCCTCGCCAAAGGCTTGGGATAAAAAGCACACAACTAGTTGGATAAAAATCATATATCCAACTACAAATCATGGGAGATCCTATATATATCCCTTTATACCCTCTTTGTCACCCCCTCCCCATAAAATAAAATAAAGCGAAAGGTAACTTAGCAAAAATGCAGGTGTACTCCATCTTCTATGTTTACATATATGTACAGCTATTTATAGAAAGTTGTGCAATTGCTTTGTCTGGAGAAGAAGATTATTTGTGTGCCTCCAACTCACCCTAACATGCGAAAAAAACCCTCAAAAACATTAGGTACTTATTCATGAAGTTAGAAAGACTGAAATTTTAATCGTTAAGCTGCAACACACATTAAATATGCATGCATGCCCTAATCACGTGATCAATTTGAAAAATACATCAATGACGTAAATGTAAAGAGTGCAACAGATCATAATTCATAAATAAAAAAGTATTGTAATAACCACGGTTAAATAGCATTCACCTTTTTCCTAGAATCAACCCAAAACAGTAAGAGCACGCACCTTGCACTTGCGACACAAAGGCGTGACGTCACAATCAAAAGTGCGCTTTCTTGATTTCACTAAATATTGAAATTAAAACCCTTGTATCAAGAAATATCATGTAAGTCGTTCGTTAGAAAGAAAATTTAGCAATAGACTGCAGTGTATAAAATTAAGATTACCTACACGATAGTATGTTAAAGCAAACTTTCTTGAACAGCATCTGTGCCGACTTCCATTATCATAAAGGTGGTTGAAGTATTAGTCGAACCAAGTACGGATGTTAAACCCGGGATTCTCTGCACAGAAGTTGTTTCATTACTAAAGAAGTTAAGGGGTAAATTCAGGTAAAGTTCTGTAATATGTAATATATTATATTGACATATTGATAAAAGGTACTGCAAATATCATTCATCGTGTTTTTTTTTTCTGGGGGGAAATTAAATAAAGGGATAAAATCATAAAAAAATATGTGTTCCACGTTACTTTCAGTTTCACTTTAGACTGAAATTGAACATGTTGAAAGATTTTTCATTAGGGGCCTATCTTAGTTGTATCAATTTGAATTTTTTGGGAAGAAATCTGATAGGATTTTAGATTGTTCAAAATTCAGTATGTATCAACGTGAACCAGAAAGAAAAAATACCCATATAATCTGATATACCTTAAATAGCCTAGATACAATTAAGTACATCAAGTACATGCATATGATTATGAAGCATTGTCATGTGAGGACAACAATGTTTAAGGTTGTAAAATTTAAATAAAACTCTTTATATTGGGTTCACAAGCTAACCCACAAGCAGATCAAATCAGGGACTTTAATACATTGTATTAACTCTGAAGCAAAATAAAATTTCAGAATATTGTTCAGTATGAGTTTTCTTTTCAGATTTCTTCAAATTTTAGATTTAGATATTAATTTTTATGCCCTACATAACCTAGCTCCTCCCCCACTCTTTAATTTGATGCATACACCCGGATCATAATCATTATAATTATAACAACATATATATAGTCATTAACTGTTATACTTAGAAGGAAAATGTCTTTGGAATGTTTAGTAAATTGTTACTATTTAACACAATTATTTCTTGATGTGTGTTTAATCATAAATTTTATTTTAACAATTGATTAATGTACAGACAGAGGATTTATGTGTGACACCCATTCTGCCAGTAAAAAGCCCAGGACAGACACCATGAAGATAGGAACACACAACGGCTCATTTCACTGCGATGAGATCTTGGCTTGTTTCATGCTGAGACAGCTACCAAAGTATGCTGATGCTGAGATAGTCAGGTAGATGTTTTCCATTCATTCTTAGTTAGCAATCAACTATATAGAAAGTACATAAATTGTTATGAACGTCAACTTATGGCAGCAAGTTGCGCATTCTAAACTGTGGGTATCTTTCAGTATGGAACAAACCATATGGAGAAGAAATAAGAGACATATATAAACACATCATACAGATGGAAATTTTAAAGTGAAAGATCTACTTTACTGTAATGTTGATATTTTTTTCTTCAGAACTCGTGACCCTGCTGTCCTTGAGACCTGTGATGTTGTGGTGGATGTGGGGGGAGTGTATGATCCTGCTAAAAATAGATTTGACCATCACCAGAGGTGAAGGATAGTTACTGAGTTTTTAGTAGGGGATGTAATTTGTCAAGTAAAGGTATAAGCCATGTATTAACATAATGCCTTTTATAGTTTACATTCAATTCAAGTTGTCTTGAAAAGTAAATTGACCTAACTGTGTTATCTCCTCCACAGAAGCATCATTTCCATTAATCATGTTAATAAAGAAATTACTTGTAGGAATATGATGCTATTTTTTATCCAGTGAACAAGTCAAAATTTACTGTTGTTTATTTTCTGTAGTTGTTACCTTTAAAACATCTTTATATATCAGGACATTTAATGAATCCATGAGCACAGTAAACAAACCCAAGAAATGGACAACCAAACTGAGCAGTGCTGGCCTGGTGTACTGTCACTTTGGTAAGGAGATCGTGGCTAAAATCCTGGAGCTTCCCGTGGAAGATCCAATCACCGATATTGTATACGACAAAGTGTACGAAAACTTTGTGGAGGAAATTGATGCTATTGACAATGGAATCAATCAGTATGATGGAGAACCCAGGTACTGATGTTTGTTTACAACAATTAGTTGCTGAAAAAATACACTTAATAAAGCTTTGTTCTTATTTACTTCTTTTTTTCTTGACACAGGTACCACATAAATACTAACCTAAGCAGCAGAGTCAGCCATTTTAATCCTTTGTGGAATGAACCTAATGCTGATGAAATGGTGAGTAAAAGCAGTGATTTTTTTTTTAAGATATCACAACAAACCTTCAAAGGGGACTATTTTGTTATAAATAAATGGATTTTTCAGGCAGGGTTTTTAAAGGCTATGAAGATGGTGGGAGCTGAGTTTCTTGATAAAATTTTGTACTACAAGAAATCATGGCTGCCTGCAAGAGAATTGGTAGAGGAGGCTGTCAAAGGCAGAATGGAGGTAACCAATCCTTATAAGAACTATAAAATCAGTCTTCTTCATTATTTTTTTTTTTTGACTGAATTTTTAGGAAAAAAAGTGTCTTAGTATGATGGACAATGCAATAAGACTAAAATGAAAAATCCACAGTCTATTCATGTTAAATGTAAAAAATAATCGATTCATTTTTACATAAAAAACTGTAATGTAATAACGTGTGGAAATTATTATTTTACTTTAACAAACTTTTATTTAACAGGTTGATCCTAGTGGAGAGATAGTGGTGTTTAAGACAGGAGGTTGTCCATGGAGGGATCATCTATTCAATTTGGAGGAAGAGCTTAAAATTAATCCACCAATCAAATATGTTCTTTACCAAGACCAGAGTAACAAATGGAGGGTTCAGTGTGTACCAGAGACCCCGGGGTCATTCTCAAACAGGTAACACAAACACACTGCAGAATTATATCAGTCAAATATCACCAGATTATCCCTAGAGATACATTTAAGATTTTAGCGAGTATAGCCAAGTTGCTAAGGTTAAGAACACACTATTATTTAGTGCTTGTTATTGCCAGGCCAGAATACTATTCAAGGTCAGAGTTCTAGAAATTAGCTTCTATTACCATATAAGTGGCAGGATTTAATTTTGGCATTATTAGCTGTTAGATAGAGATAGCTAAAATTGAATATCGCTTAAAATTAATTGTGTTTTATTTGTAATAGTTTCTTTAATATTTTTATAAATAATATAAAAATAAATTACCCATTTTTAAGGACAAATCGCTAAATTTGCTAGAAAATTTCAACTTATAATAAAAAATCTTCAAGTAGGAATAGTGTATGACATTGTTCTCATGCATTTTAAGTTAAGATTAAAGCGTTTGCATCATACATGCATCCAAAGGGTGAAGCCTTGCTTTTAGTCAAGTATCAGTACATTTTCCATTGTTTCTGAACAAATACCATGAGTTCCAAAGTGTTGTCAAACTCAGATTCTCAATGAAAGTAAATTACTATATTGTTTCAATAATTCAATCAGCATGTAGAACTTATAAGTTATCTTTCTTTTCTCGCTCCAGATGATTGACCTGTCTACTGTTTAGGATAAGGTACCCTGAGTTGATTTTAATAAATACTGATTTCTCCCTGTTTCAGACTATCTCTGCCAGAGGACTGGCGTGGCTTAAGAGACAGCATACTTACAGACAAGTCAGGGATCCCTGACTGTATATTTGTACATGCTGGTGGCTTCATTGGAGGAAACCACACTTATGAAGGAGCACTGGAAATGGCAAAGAGAAGTCTGAAGATGTCACAGAAAAATACTTAATAATGCAAGGAATGTTTTATAGGCATATTGGAAATGTAAATTCTGAGCTCAGGTCACTACATGTACATTAAATACATGAGGGAATATTTCCTTGTCATTGTTGAATCTCTTCTACATGTATCAGAGTCATAAAATAAAATAAAGATATTATCTTTGAAATCATTCAGTTATATTGTATGATGAAAAATGAAATGCAGACTCCATGTTTTAAAACACAAATTATTTTAATTTTTCCAGGTAGGACATAAATATTTGGCAGTGAAGAGTGTATAAAATTTGTTTATTTCCTTTTGATTTTGTATATAGAAATGTGTGATTTATATTTAAGGTATTTAAAAACTGAAAACTTCAGAGGGCTAGTTTTTACCCCCAAGTAGTATGTCCGAATAAAACATTTTGAAATTGTCGTTTTCAGGACAAGAACTGATTATTAAAAAGTGATTAATATACACTTTTAAATCATAAATCTACTTTGAATGTACTATATATAGAGTATGTACAATATTTAATGAAATTTTTGAACGAGATAGGGTAGATATGCGATTTAGGGAACTTTTATATGTTCCTATTTATGTATAAGCTTATAGTAATCGGGATGTCCATCCGTCTGTTTTGCTTTGGGGTTCCCATCTCTTATCTGCAACTCCTCTTATATACCACTGAATGAAATATGATGAGACTTTCAGAGAATTTTTATTACATAATGCTTTTGTGCACCTCCTATTTTACTTTTTGATCTGACACATATTTTGGATTTCCTGAAGCAAAACATTGACACTGCCATTATATTCTTACCTATGACATGAGGTGTGGAGGCTTCTCAATAACATGGGGCACCACGAGTTATTCCTCTTTATATGTTACTTTAAAACTATATCGAGCGGGCATGATAGCTACATGTTACAAAGCACGAGCTAGTACTTCTTGATCTGACACATATTTCGGGTCTCCAAGAGCAAAACAGGGACTGTCATTATAATCAGAGAGGCGCATGTGAGCTCGTTGCTCACAGTACCTGAAGTTGATTTTTGTTATGTTTTGAAAATAAAAACAAACAAATTAAATTAATTAATTAAGCAATTATTGTTAGTTAACTAATTTCCTGATAATGATTTTTATTTTTTGATGATACCGTATATACATAAACAAGGGATCCATATGTTTACTTTATAGCTGTGTCCTTACAACAAAAGAAACTGATTATAGGTACTCTACACTGTTATACCACCTATTCAATGATTCTATATGAATGATTTATTTTAATTGATACACTCTTCACCATCTTAAGATAATCAAGGAGGAATGTCGTTTAATTTTGATTTTCAATCGAATTATAAAACTTATACATTTTGGTTGAGATTTACATTGATATGAGTTTATAGCCTATAATATAATTTTATGGACACTGCTAACAGTCATAGAAGACATTTTTTCAGGAGACGGCCATTTGATTCTAAAAGGGTGGGGGAGTCAAAAATTGTCGAGTCAGATAATGCTTTGTACCAATTAATTTTTAGGATGACAAGAGCTTTTTGTTTTTTATTCAATGAAAAATGTTTGACAACTTTCTTATTTATTTCCAAGATTGTTAAGCTCCCCCTTCCCCAACGCAATATAACACATACATAAATTATGCCAAACAGAAATCAGATAATTGTCCCTACATACATGTATATTTCTTTAAAACGCTGGATAGAAAATTCTGATTTATATATTATTTTCAAAATTGAAATTATTTGTCTTCTGGGTCAATCAGTAATAATGTGCCTTCTAGCGTAGCTGAGGTGGATTGAAAATGAATTTCAAACTAGAATTTCAATCCAATGTTTTCTCGGCCGTCCGCGTCGAATTGTACCCGCCCATTTCATTGTCTATCATTGAATGTTTTGATTGTAACAGATAGAAATGACGTAAGCTGCATATTTCCAATATTGCCAGTTAATATTGCGCAGTCTTATACCCTCCCGCTTTTCAAGCGGGAGATATGATTAAATGAAGTTAAAAGATATACCACAGAGTCTGACACATGCATTTCATAATTTGAATTTTTTAATCGAAAAAGATATTAATGGTAACCTTAATAACAACAAACCTTCAGAATGAACGTGATGACTTGAACTTGTCACATGCATATGTGATTTATGAATTTTATGTCTCTTTGTTAATTTGATATGCAACGCAGGCTACGTATGAACATTTAATTAAATGAGGCAAGCCATTGACAAATAAATTGATGAAACAAGAATATCCAAGGTCTTTAATTATCTTTCTTTGGTCAACCTAATCACCTTGTCAAATTGGGAAATACAATTTAAAAATACTGACTGACGTTTTTCGTTCTAATTGTTAGACAAGCCACTGGATTGTTTACAAATTTAACAATTTCCCGATCAAAACAATGATCTGAACACATGGCGGGCATGGCGACCAGTCGACGGGGCTGCTTATGGCATCTGATCCCGCCTCTGATGTTTGAAGGGTTCGTTTTTGTTCAGCCCCAAATCTATATTGTTTCCAACAGCTTTTGAGCTTGACTACTGCTCGTTATCTGTGTAATTCATGCAAAGAAATTTTTAAAAAAATCAGTGTAGTAACAAATTTATTGACATATTTTCAGCAGTAAGCAATTATGATACAATTACTCTCTTTTATTAAGAAAATGTCAATATCCATGATCATATTATCCACCATAATCGTAATTGTAGTCCTGCATTCCTCGATGACCAGTATTGTGTTCATTCCAAGAGTGATGCTCATAAAACACATGGTGTATGTTGTTATATTTTGCATAGTGAGACGGACCTGGACCAGAAGTTTTTATCCTATGAATAGTGTGGTGATTTGTGTGTGGTCCAAACTCTGGATCATATTTGTACACACATTTCACAGGACATTTGATGTCACTAAACTTTTTATACTTATAGGAACTGTGAGCGTGGGCCGGGCTCTTACACTTGGGCTTAGGAGGACATTTGCACTTGATTTTGCAAGAAAAGGCACAGTGCAGACCTTTGATGGTCTTGTACTGCAGGACTTTTCCGCAGACTCCGGGGTATCCTTTGTAAACAGGAATTTTGGGACATTTGGGTGGTTGAGGACAGTTGCATTTGACCTTGCATTTTATGGGACAGATACGACCATTTATGTTTTTAAAGTCAAAGTCATAGTAGCACAGATCTTTGTATTTAGGAATTGTTGGTAGTTTGGGACATTTTGGCAGAGTTGGACAAAAGCAACCTATGTTGCATCTTACTGGGCACCTTATGCCGTGGATGTACCTGTAGTGATAATCATAGCTACAGATATTTTTATAGTTGTGATAAGTTTTTATTGGTGGACATTTCGGTTTGGGTGGACAGTGACAAACTCTGTCACATTTGACAGCACATTTCCTACCGCCAATAGTTTTGTACCTATAAATGTAATTACACAAGTGTCCTTTATTCTTTCCAATTTTTGGACATTCTGGGAAAGGTGGACAAGTGCATTGAACATCACATTTCACTGCACATACTTTGTTGTGTATCTTTTTATATGTATACGTATATCTACAAAAGTCTTGCAGATCTTTATACTTGTCAAGAGGAGGACATTTAGGGAATTTTGGACATTGGCATTCTGCTTCACATTTTACAGGACAATGGACCCCCTTTATATTCTTGAACTGATATTTAGGACTGCATGTTTCCTTGTTCTGTTCTATGATTTTCGGACATATGGGAGCAGGGGGACATAAGCAATCCACATTACACCGCACCGGACAAAGATTGCCATATACCTTCTCGTAGACATAAATGGGGTGGCACTGCTTGGCGATTGTGGCATTTTTAGGGATTGGTGGACATTTTGGAACAGGTGGACAGCGACACGTCGCTTTACAACTCACAGCACAATTCAGCCCGTTGATCTTTTTATACTGATAGACAGGTTGACACAATCCTTGACCACGTGTAGAGCAATCTGGCAGAGGAGGACAACTACATTTTTTACTACACTTTATGGGACATTTTTTCTTTCCTATCATTTTATAGCTAAACTGGTTCACGCAGAGATCACCGTACTTTGAATTTCGCTTGATGATTGGGCACTTTGGAGGTTTTGGACACAGACATACTAGTTTATATCTAACTGCACAAAGTAAATTAAAAATATTTTTAAAAATGTACTTAATGTGGCAATTTTGGGGAATTACTTTTGGAAGTTTTGGTAAAGGTGGGCAGTGGCAATCAGTAGAACAACTGATGGCACATTGTTTCTTGTGGAATGTTTTGTACTTAATAACGTGCTTACAAAGGCTCTTCTTATGCACAGGAAGTGGAGGACACCTAGGGAGTGGAGGACACCGGCACTCTAAAATACATTTAATTGGACAACTCAAACCTTGATCTGGTTTGGAAAAGATATATCTTCTTCTGCATAAACGCCTTGATTGGTCATCAATTTTTGGACATTTTGGCAAGGGATTACAATTGCATTTATTTTTACATTTGATGGCACATGTTAGACCATTAATCTCTTGGAAAGTATAGTCTGGGAAACAGGTTCCATACTTTGGTTTCTTGACTGGTGGACAGTTAGGAAGTGGAGGACACTGACATTTAGATGTACATTTTACAGGGCACAAGATCCCATTTACTTTGGCATTTATAAATACTCTTCGACAGAGCTTTTTGTATTTGCCATATTTAGTAAGAGGTGGACATTTTGGGATAGGCGGACATTTGCACTTGTTTTTACATTCAACAGGACACTTATTTCCTCGTATTATTTTGAACTTATAGTAAGGCTTGCATAGTCTAGCATACCTTCCCCTAACAAATTCACACTTGGGCGCTGGTGGACATCTACAGATCAATTGACATTTAACAGCACATCTTCTGCCCTGGATTTTCTTATAAGTGTACAATGGCTTACAAAGTTTGGTCTCGTTAGGTTTGAGAGGTGGGCATTTGGGAAGTGGCGGGCACCTGCACCTTAGCCGGCATTTCACTGGGCATTTCAAGTCATTGATATGTATGTAACTATATACAGGAGAGCAAAGGTTTTCTTGACCTTTCGGAGGTTTAGGGCATTCAGGAGGGAAAGGACAACCGCACTGTATTTGGCAACTGACTGGACAACGTTTGCCAAATCTTATCTGGTATTTATATACATGACGACATGATCGACCCTTTCCATCGTTTGGAATACGGGGACATTTTGGCGGGGGAGGACAAAGACATCTAGATGTGCACTTTATCGGGCATCTCTTGCCATTGATTTGCTTAAAGTCATAAATCTTTTGGCATTGCCTTCCGTTGTTCTTAACTATGCAAGAAGGTTTCGGTGGACAAACACAGACTGGTATACATTTGACAGCACAGTTTTTGTCATTGATCTTCTTAAAGAGGTACTTTTCGTGACACAAGTGACCGTATCCTTTTGTTTTTGTCAATGGTGAACACTTTGGTAGTGGAGGACATTGGCAATCTAAAACGCATCTTACTGGGCAACGATGTCCTCTAATTCTGGTGAAAATATATCTTGGATGGCACAGCTTACTATTTGTCCCTTTTGGGATCACACATTTCGGCAATGGGGGACATGAGCACTTATAATTGCAACGAACGGGACATAGCTTTTGTCCAACTTTTTTGTACTTATAGGATACGGTGCAATATCTGTGTTTTCTACAGACCGGGCGTTCTGGACATTTACAGTCGTATAAGCACCCTACTGGACAAATACCAGCTTCCGTCCTAGCTAGTTTGAATTTTAGCTGACAGTGGGGTGGAGGTCTCGCACATTGTGGCGGAGGAGGACAGTTATTTCCGGGCTCTATAAAGATAAAGAAAAAACACAAAGATTGAATGAACAGTTGTTACGATCTTCTTAGTGCTTTATAGAAAAAAAATCACCAGGTACATTCACGAGAACTAATTCATTTACTTAAAGGTAATTGAAATTTGTCACAACTGGCAATTTTTCTGAAGAATATTTACATAACGAGAAAAACTGATATTGAATAGAAAAAAAGAAAGATAACCTGAATGCTTCCGAGTTGATCCTCTGTATGTGTTACTGTAGCAGCACACAGACAATGGTGTTCCCTGTACCGACACACACTGGTAGCCACGAGGACAGGAGGAAGGGTAGGAACATGTCACCAGTGTGTTTGTCTTCGTAAGAAGTGGAGTCTTTATTTTACAGGGGTTGCCAGCTGTCAGAAAAGAAAACGGTCTCTAAAATGTTCATTTCAATTTCTGAGAAGAGAATTCTTAGAAAGTACAATTCAGTCTTTTACCAGGTATTCTTTTAATTAAACATTCTAGTCAACCAAGATGATTTGAACTACCCCATTCATACTGGATCACTAGATTATGTCAACATACTTAAAGAGAATACTCTACTACGCCCTATCTTTATTCCTCACAAAATATGTTTTGCTGTAAATGAGAAACCTCAGACATAATGAACTGAATCATCAACCATTTTTTCATTGACAGCATCTATATATTTATAGATTTATAGACCCTCCTTCTAACAATCTATTGGAATTCGGATTGACACTTATTATGCGCCTTTATTATAAACCGATATTTTAAAAAAAATCCTATGAAGTAGAATTTATATCAAACCTATTTCTGCTTGAAAAGAAGAAAACACTTGCCGTGGTCTTTAACTCAACATTTATGTGTGTACTCGATATCCCAGTTAATTCCAAATTAAAAAATACCGCAGAGTCTGCCACATCTGTTTCATGTTTAGATGTTTTACTAACTACAGACGACAAGGACCTCTAAACTGTATGGAAACAAAATAATTTTATTTAAACTTTAAATACGATTAATTTTTAAAACCGCGGCAGGCTAGTGACAGGTAAGTTGATGTTACAGAGATTTCCAAATAGTTTGAAGTCAGGATTTTGCAAATTTTTTGTTGCTCGTTATAATGAGTTGCTTGTTAGCATATTTAATCCATCTTTGGGCCGCGTTGTAGATCACTAATTTTTCGCGACACCTTTATTTTCGCAGATAGTCATTGACTCTTTATAAGCGAGAAATAATTTTCACGAATCGATGTTAATAATAATAATAATATTATTATTATACACGAGAATGAAATTTTCTCGAGCTCATGGTCTCGGGTAATTACACGAAAATAAAGTTCACGCGAATAAAGTGATTTACATTTTTTGGTGCTGACGTGTTTCATACCATTGGTTAGATATTGTGTTTTTAACTACTTAATTTAACCACGGAATATCGTCTCTACATGATAATTGTCCAGAATTATATACCTAAAAATTTAACCTTCTTCTTCTACTAAGAACCTTAACATCTTACATATATCTAGAGTTATAACAAAATATATCTCAAAACAATTCAACTAGCTGGAATATAACACTTTATTAAAATCTACACATATCTTAACCAAAAGCGTTAAGTCTGTGAGAAGAGCCTTCAAAATGTACGTACCTAGAGCACAGGTTCTTTGGTAACACACTGATTTGGCTGGACACGAACGAGAACTCCTACACCTGATCTTCAGTCCGTGTCTATTGGTCAGGTATCCATGGGGACCAGCGAATGGATCAAAGGCATCTTTATGTATAAAGTAATGTCATTTATCATGTGACGAATTTCCTAAGATCGATTTATTTGGATTCAATATAAATACATGTACAGTTAAAAAGAATTACCCGATGTCCACGAAAGACCAAGCGAGCAGCATATCCAAAATATAATTTGAACGCTAAGTATTTTCATTTTTCAACGAGTCATCGAGTAGGGCGGCGTTTATGTCCACTTCTTAATTCCTAAATCAGATTGTAAATTCCATACAATAACACAAATATAAAAAAGATTTGTCAGAAGAAATTGACGAAGAGAAATAAATTTAACGAACCTGCTCAGAAATTTTCGATTACCTTTCTGTAACTTGACGGTCAATAGTTTCAGGTACTGAAAGAAGGCTTTGTAATATACAGTACATGTTATTTGCTAATTCAGGCATAACTACAACATTGGGCTTATGAGGATAAGCAATATTCATGCATAAAGAAATGAAATTATCATGTAGTATAAATTGGTATTGATTCTACAAGTTTAAAAAGGCACATGTAGGTATATGTAAAAAGAGCAGAATTATAAATGTGATGAAATCTCCTTTCTAGTCTTCTTAATTGTCTACATCTAGTTCATTTTCTTTACTTTCCAGTATTTATACAACAGGTACGTACATGACTGAAACATATGGAGACGAACGGTATTCAAAATCTATAGTCCTTAAAACAATACAAAACAGGAGCAGAGCAAACGCGGATCTCCAAAACATCAGAGGTGGGATCAGATGCAATGATGGAGGAGTGAGCATCCTCTGCTGACCGGTCACACCCGCCGTGTGCTCCTTATCATGATCGGGGAATAACGGGAAAACTCGTCGTCAATTCAGTGTATATATAATGGACTTACAATCAGTATGAAAAACGTCAGTCAGCATTTGACATATTCATTTGATAAATTGTATTTGCTGACAAGGTCATTGTATCGACCGAACTTATGAAATGGTGACTTTAAACGAGACTGTTGATATTTTTATTTCATCAACTTGTTTGTCAATAATTTATCTCGTTTTAGCATGCTCTTGCGTATCGAATCAACTGAGATACATAATCTCCGTATGCAGGTGATGAATGTACATGTATTTCGCTTTATAAGTAAGGAAAGTTGACATAGAAAAGATAAAGTCATCACGTTTATCATAGAGCCTGGTTGTTAGATTACCAATTAACGTCTTTTCAAGTAAAATATCCAAATTTGAAACAGATGTCAGACTCTGTGGTATCTTAAGCTCACCAGTTTATATCGTATCGACATAAGAATAGACATTACAATTATTAATTGACAATATGTCGTTGATATATCTAAATGTCGAGTTGAAGGCCAGGGCAAGTGTTTTCTTCTTTTCACGCATAAGATTTTGCACAAATTTTGCTTCATATGATTACAAAGATAGGTCTGGTAATAACGGGGTGCAACAGTTTAAAGTTGAAAAATTTTTAAGATGTTGATTTTGTGATTTCAAATTTTCCAAAAGTTCTTGGAATGTTTAAATATCCACATCTGATTTACATCACTTCTTGAATATATTGTTACAAAGTACTCTTGAAGTTTCTCCTTCATTACCGTTTATATCTTAATGAGGAGTAAAGAAAGAGGCTTGACTGAACATTTACTGGAACCCGCTATATACTAGTATCGTTTTTTGTAAGGATTCTTGTGAATTTTCGGAATCCAATTTATATATGGTAGTTCAAAATCATTTGGTTCTTTAGGATATTAGAAGTATTCAAAACTGACATATTATTTTGAAGAAATGGTACACGACGAAAATAAACATATAAGCATGTCAAACACAACTGAAACGCACATATGTCCATATGATAGATGTTTGCTTTATTCCTTATAAAAAATGAACTAAGAAATTTTCATTTATCAATATTAATTGTGGTTGGTCATTTTCAAACAGTTTTTGAAGATCATATCTTCAAACAATCTTTATGGCACTTAAGTGTTTTCCTTTCTTACCCACATGGTGTTTATGCACACAAAGCAGAATCAATTCAAACTTCTATCCAACAGAAAGAAAATGCTTGCTATGGCCCTCGCCTCGACATTCAGGTATATTGACAATGTTTTAAACTAATTTACTCAAAATAAAAACAACACAGATCTGACACAAATGTTTCACATTCAAATGTTTTACGGAGTATTGGGCAATAATGACAAACTGAAAATTTCTTTCACATTTTACACCGATTTTACACACACGGAATTCAAGAAAATGTTCCGGATGGTCGACCTGAAGAAACTTCTATGCATCAATTTTGACAGTCTGGTTTTGAAAATCCCTGGAATAAGGACATCAACTTTATCATTCAATCCAAATTATTTGCACATTTAAGACTTTTTGATCAAACAAATCAAAAGCTTTTAGAACAAATAAAGTGGGGATATTATTTTCCCTAGGTTCCAGCCCAGACAGGCGGAACGTCAATCTATCTGGGAAATAATTATTGCAAATGCAACTCAATTCAACACATGGTACATAGTTTCCTCTTTTTTTTTTTTTTTTGATATCTTAGAAAGCGGGGTAGAATATAATATTCTGTTGATTAGAAAAGCAGGTCTTTAATAAGTACGTGTTTCAAAGGTAATGCCAAGATGAATGATTGGGTTTATTTTTCAAATCTGTAATGTCAATTCACTTAAGAAATGCTGCAGATATGTAAATTTTTTATCCAATGGCCAAAGAAAACCTAACCAATAATTGAATCAGATACAATTTTCAAAAAGAATCTTTATTATATGTTAAAACCATGATATTTTATACAGTTAAAATAATCATGAAGTATCATTTTGCCATTAAATTTATATGAGCATATGACCACTAGACCACTAGTGTCGGGCGCCTATAGAGAGAAAACATATCCCTTGTTGAAACATCACACAAAAGAGATTGTTGAAATCCCTTTTTGCATATGAAAACGTCGCGGGGGGGGGGGGGTATTGAAAAAAAAAAACCCAGCTGTCTAAGATATCAAAGAGCTTAATTTTTTTTATTAATCACGGGGAATGGTGTTGTAAAAAAGGCGTACATTTTTCTGTTACTACATCTGAAAGATACCACTTTAAGAATATTCTTTATTCAAAACTTCAACTTGCTTCATAATCATCTGAAAAATATAAACAAGAATAAGAAAGTGAGATTATGAGAAAGAATGAATTGTCTAGAATGCACTTTTCTTAGTGTATAAGAAAAACAGAACGGGGAAATATGTACTCTAATTATTACTGTCTTGTAGATAAGTCGTCTAGGATCCCAATACCCTAGCTGCAATGTAGCCCTCTCCCTCTTTCTTTTTGTTTTTTTTGTTTTATGGGAGAGGGCTACAACTCCTTAGGATCTCCGTAATGGTGCAGCTGCGGAAGTGATTCGCTCCCGCATGGATTTCGGCTCAAATTGTCAGTAAATGGCTAATTTATTAACATTTCTTACCTTGACTCCAAAAATGTAGTTATCCAAGACATAAATCAATCCAAAAATATACAGAACAATCCATATATCAATTATTTTTCGTGTATGTCAACATCACAACTTGAATTTATCCGCCATGTTTACTGACCTTGACAGATTTTATTCTGGGACAGCCAATGAGATTAAGGATCTATAGGGAGCGGATTTCTTTGGAATTACCTTATTTTAAGCCTAAATATCGCTGTTTACGAAAAAATTACACATGGAATGATTTTATTTATCGATGTTTTGTGATACTATTCATCACAATTACTTATAAACACCGAAACCTGCTTTATTTATTTATTCTAAATTTCAAGCGCAAGTCTCGGTACGTCACGCGTGAACTGTCATGGCTGTTGAAGATAAACACGAACTTGGCGAAGATTTATTTTACATGTTTTTCGCGTTTAACGGGTTATGTTGTCGACAGTGAATAAAAATCTCGTCTTATTAGATGTAAGTTGAATGTAAAAACTATTTTTTCTGCCTGCCTTCGCCCAAATTTTAAAAAATACTTTTGCACCATTACAGAGATGCTGTGGAATTGTAGCCCTCTCCAGAAAACATCAGATTAAAAAAAAATCGGAGAGGGCTACATTATTGCAGCTACCAATACCCATGAATTTGACATAATTATGGGACAACCTCAGTTGTAGCTTTGATGATGCTTTTCAAACTTGACCTGTTGCCCTGCTTTTGTCAGTAAATCATGTGAAGGACAAGCCTACATATATACAACATAAATTGTTACATGAAATATAACTTTTAGAAATAAAGGCAAAGGGAAATATAAATGAAATGACAAAACGATACATGTACATGGTTTTCCTATTTGCATGTATGTATGTAGTAGTCAAAGCAAAATTTGTCAGAATGATGCAGTTTACTTGTAAAGATTTTCCTTGGACGCATGTTGACCTTGACCGATTCCTGCTGCATTTCAAAATAACCTTATCATACAAAAGTCATGGGGAACCCCCAATTCATAAACAACGCCTACACAGATACAATGCAGTGTATAGCTGGATATCCCCTTAACTTGAGAAATCTAAAAGGAAATCACTCTCTGAAACTCCAATGATAATCAAATGGTGAGATTTATTTTTTGAAACACACCTCATTGTATTTGTTTCATGTTGCTCAAATTTTTAGCATATGAATTTTCCGTTTGAGTAGCTAATAGAGAAAAGATGTTATTTTGTCATGGGAGAAACTAGATCAATTTCTTTTAAACAAGACAGATCAGAAATTGGAAAGTATGTGATACAATACAAAAACATGTATATGACCAAGGAATAAGTTATTTTTTTTCATTCATATTTTTGCTTTATTTTAAACAAATCAAATAAAGCGTCATATTTCACTATTATTATCAGGAATCATCTGAAGACTACAAGTGTACGATTATCAATTATTGTCGGATATATTATATCTTAGTTACTTAGTACTAAATTGGTAGTTGATAAGATATGATACTTTTTTGAATTCTTTATCCAAGACAAGGGATCAGGTACCATAAGAG